ACAGAACCTTCTTCTAACAGAGAAGAAAAATCAAAAAAGATTTCAAGAAATTCCGTTAACTAGTTTTCCAAAGAAAAAAGAAAGTGTGATAGGAAGTCTGCAGCGTCGCAAATGGAGATACGTGGTTTCGCACTTTGGCCGTCGATATCAGTATTACCTCTGAAAAGGGAGCTTGCGTTCATAAACTTGCGAGGGGTATTTCATATACCCCTCTTCTCCCTTGTAACGCTTTTGTGACATCAATCCTTACACTTAAACACGTAAAATCAAAATGGTGTAACGTTCCCTTCGATCTTCCCCTCTCCTAGAGCTTTACGCAATTTCTCTGGCATCGTAATTGGCTAGTTTTTAGAGGGGTTTACTGTAATTTTTGGTCATCAGATATTTCGCCTCTTTCATTCTTTCCTCTCTCTCCAACAACACTGATTCTCAGTCGAGCAACGCTTTTTTTAAAAACACCTGCACAAATCTTTCATGACTGAAAATTAGTAATGCATGGGCCCCTAAACAGCCGGAACTTGCCATTATTCGTGCAGGTGTTTTATCTTTCTTTATTTTTTCCATAAATTATACTCATTTCGTAGACTATCCACTTTTTCTGTGTGAATCTTTAATACTATCTTTAAGCTACCTCAAGCACTATTTTTCTTTCTCATTGCATGCTAAGTCTTCGCTCATGCTAGGAGTGATTTGATTTTTTTAATTCATCTGTAGGTGCCATTTTTTGGATTAATAGCAGTTTGACGCAGGATCTGATATTCAGTTCAACAGCAAAAACAGATCTTGGGCTAAGTTATTCTAATAGTAAAGCTACTTTTCTCTGATTATTCAATTCCGGTAGAAAAAATCTTTTTTTTTTCGAATATGAATAAGTTTGAAAAAACAATTGTGCATTTATTCCAAGCCATTATGAAGTCTTTTTTTATCAGACTTATTTACTCATTGAGTAATTGAGGAAGCTGGTTTAAAATTTTTTTAAAAGTTCTTTAGAGGGTCTGTTTAGAGAGCCTTATGTTATTAAAGTCTAGATCAATGTAACTCATTCCAGATGTTAATTACAATGAAAAGGTATAGAAGCATGGGAAAAAAATAAGAACTCTGTATAAATATTTCAGTTTTCAAAGATGAATGCATATGACATGAAATAATAAACGAATGACGCCATCATTAGTTTTCATCCTTGCAACTGAATTTTTTTTGCGCTGGATGGATTCCTTGAGTATTTTTTGCACTTTAAAGTGTTTTTCGTGCCTATGTACAAAAATTAAAATTTTGATGACCAGAAACTTACTTTGTATAATCATATTCTACGGGTTTTAGCCTTTATGGCGATATTGTTTAAAAGAGAATGAGAATTCAGATACATTTCTGCATTGACTTCGTGTAACGAAGAATTGCAAATCTGGAAAGATTCCCATTACAAAACTATCTGCTATTTCTTTTTTTATATTTAGAGCCGAGGACCTCCTCAACTTCGTCTCAAAAATCAAACCTTGCAACCTGCGATGTTTTCATGAAGCTATCTCTAAAAGAGTACACGCTTTCAGGAAACTTTACTGAGTAGATGCCTGGCTAATTATTTATGTATATTGCGAGAGGAAAAATTAAACCTCAATTTTCTCGGCGACTAATTAACTTGCTTTGTCGCGGTAATATCTTTGAAAGAGGAGCGTAGCATATTCGCTCAGCCTAGGTCGTTTTCACTTCACACTTAGTGACCAGTTTCTACGACACCGCGTGCAGTTATGATGCTGCAAACCTCTTTTGTGATGCGGATTATAAAATGTGAAGTGAAATTGGTGCATTACACGGAAATGCAACTCTTCCTTTTCCTTCTCCCTTTTTTACTCGATTTTTGTAGAGTTGACCAATGACCAAATGAATGAAGTTAGAAAAGAACGGTTCATATCAAAACCCCGCTCAAATCCAGCATGGCGAAAAAAGAAAAAAAGAAAGAAAAATTACAACAAGTGCATAGCTGCACATGGAAATGCATCCAAATTCCACACAAAATTATAATTGCATTCATCAATAAACAACAAGATTCTGCTTTACAAGCGGTTTAAATATGCTCAACTAAGAAGGTCAAATCCTGATGAGTTTACAAACTCTGAATGGGTACTCTCCCCCAAAAATGAAAGCCAAGAATCGATTCAAGAAAAATAAACATGAAATTTTCAGAATTTTCAGCTCAAATTACAAACAAAGTCACCTGAAAAACCGGTGGGAGAAAATTCACGAATTTTCCTGAAAAGTCGTGATTTTTCGAACGAAAACTTCGCAACCCCTGATGGCTGATACGGCGCCCTTCCATAGCGAGGCAAAATTGATCGAACATTATGAACGATTAATTGCACTGCTGTGAACTCGTAACTCGTGAGGTGGCATCTAGTTTCAGTTAATCTACTCACTGATAAAAAAAAACTATCGTGATGATACTCGAACCCGACCTCTTCGATGAAGGGTCTCCTGACACTCTTCCGATGACAATTTCAGCGGCGATGTTCCGTTTCGCGCTGTTGTGCAAAGGCTACCGGCACCAGCTGAAGAAGGGCACGTCTTGAGGTCCAATTACACTCCATAATTTATGGGAGTGTCGCTGAAATCAATGGGACCCCATTTATTTTTTGTACCCTCCCCCCTTCCTCTCCACAATCCGCACCGGAGACCCGGGTCCTGTGTTTGTCTCCGGGGCTGTTTTGTCTTGTCGATTGTCCACGCCAATTGGAGTGTTCGTCAGGTCGAATACGAAAGTGAATTTCCTCTGTCTATTAGCAGATAAAGATTCGCTCCGACGTGGCGGGGTGCTTGAAAGGCGCAAAGGATACATTGTACTTTTTATCGGGCGACGGCAAACTGCCACCCGGGTGGCAGTTTTCAAGAAATTTGTATGAAAACTGCCACCCGTATAAATTTGAAAACTGCCACCGGTAGTGAAAACTGCCACCCGTGTAAATTTGACAACTGCCACCCACATGAATTTCGGCGCACAGAGGGTCGAAGCGGACATTTAGAGATTTTCGGAGATCCCAGGTAAAGAAAAAAAGTAAGTGGGTGGATGCTGTCATCAAGAGATTTGATGAAAAAATCCCCAACAAAGAAGGCGAAGTGATGTCCCTTCATGACTTCATGAAAAGAATTTCCACTAAATTCGCCAAAAATCCCACCAACCTCACCAAAAAGAAAGAAGGTAAAAGCCAGAAGAAAGTTCAAAAGGTAAAAAAGAAAAAAAAGAATAACAAAAGTAATGCCAAATGATGAAAAAAGCTCCTAGTAGTGATGTACTCTTTGACTGTAATTTTACTAAAATGTTACTACTTTTAACTATTTTTTACTATAAACATACTGTAAATTACTGTAAAAATACTTTTTACAATTTTTCACTACTTTCAACTAAGAGTAATGCCAAATGATGAAAAAAGCTCCTAGTAGTGATGTACTCTTTGACTGTAATTTTACTAAAATTTTACTACTTTTAACTATTTTTTACTATAAAAATACTGTAAATTACTGTAAAAATACTTTTTACAATTTTTCACTACTTTCAACTAAGAGCCCATTGACCTCTTTTCACCATATTAAAAAATTTTAAAAAAATTGTATTAAAAAATAACTTTTAAACACGCCTATTAAAAATCATCACAGACACTGCTCAATTTCTTATCATGTGTTGATTTTCAGTAGACAGTCCTCAGCCTGTCCAAGTGTGAAGGAAAGTTTGGTAAACTGTGCGACCCCGCTCAATCGCGCTCCTTGGTCAAATTTCAACGGGTGGCAGTTGTCACTACCGGTGGCAGTTGTCAAATTTACACGGGGGGCAGTTGTCAAGTCGGGTGGCAGTTTTCAAATTTATACGGGGGGCAGTTGTCCATGTTTCCAGGAAATGGGTGGCAGTTTACAGCCTCCCCTTTTTATCATCCAGGTCGTAAAATTGAAAAATAAAACCGTCTTAGTTTCATTCTGTCAAGTATATTTTTTTACATCATGTCTGCTTCAAGTTCCTCAAGTGCTTTTTGCGAATATTTATTCGTTACGCAAGGCTGTACTCATAATGCGAATTCTATGTGCACGATAGGGTCTAAGTGAATATTCCATCCTTTAACTATGAATTGGAAATGATATTTTGTTTGTTTTTATTCCTCACTTACTATTGTTTACGATAGCTCGGAAGTTATTAAATTTCGGTCTCAGCTTTATGCTATCGAAAAATTCGGGCTTACGCATCTTTAAACTGATGTTTTTTGAAAGAAGATTCACCTTTAATGGTCAAAAATTTAATTTGGCCGGATCCGGAATTCAATTATCCTACCTAAGTCTTATTTTTCTTTGTCAAGGACGCCTAGACTTTATTCAATTTGTGGCCAACAAGCATCGCACGATTCGCACGGAACGGAATGCCTCTTTGTATACGCAAGTGGAGCTTCATTTTCCAGTTGTCGTTTTATTTTGCTAATTTCTTGCTTTATTTACATCATATTCCCATGTTAATGCCGTGGGGCGACGCGACGTATAGACGCACGAAATGCTAATGAGGCGAGAAAAACTGGCGCACGGTAAACTGTCAGCTCATGCTTTTTGGCCTACCTCAAAAATTGAAGGCGGAAACGTGCGTATTGCCTTCATTCTAATTAAATCTCAAGTCTATCTCCTTTTTCCAGTCAGACTGAAGAAGCCACTATCTCTGGCTACTTTAAGAAACGGCGCAAGTGTATTTGGTTTTCCCAAGTAGATGGATGGTTTATAGATGGAGAAACAGTAGTTCCTCAGTGCAAATTTTAGTTTAATTTTCTCATGTCTGGTTTTTGGACTGTATTTTGCAATTCGAAACTACAATGTCTGGATCATTGTTAAAAACACTAATGTGCAGAAGGAAACTCAAGGTGTATGCGTTGTTACTAAACTAAGACGGAAATCGTAGCTCCTAATTGCAAAATGAAGGTCATTCATTCCTCCCTTTAAATTATAATTTGAATGATTGGAAATTTGCCGAAGAAACTGACCTGATTTGCCAACACCAGACTGTCCGAGGACCATGACTTTTAGAGGCTTTTGTTTCGGGCAGAGGCTGATTTTGCAGAAGGAAGACTTTGGTGACGTCACTGTTGCCATCAGTTGGAGCTTCATCACCTCGGTACATTCGCCGTTGCCTCCATCCTTGCCCAGACCGCTTATCAACCCCACTGAAACCGAAAAGAGGAATGAAACGTGAAGAAATGACCCAGTAGCAGTTACAATGACATACATTAAAATTAGTCATCATAAATGAGAAAATTTTTTCTCGCCGTTCAAAAACCCTGTAGTATCCGCCAAAAACCATCACGTCTTCTCACAAAGTTTCTAAAACTTGAAAACTCAAGAGCCTCAATAAAACAAACAATATACTGAAAAAGAAATATACATCCAAAGATAATAACATCATAAAATCCAAAAATTTTCATTAGAAACATAAACAAGTTTATCAAAGTCGGACCGAGAGGCAAAACTGAAAAATGTAGTTAGCTCTTAACATTTGTACGAAGTGTCCGGTAAAATTCCATTTCGATGGCGAAACTGCAAAACCACGTATCTCCGTTCATGGCATTGCAGACTTCTGTCATTCTTTCTTCTTTCAAGAACTCGTCAACGTAATTTCTTGATAACCTCCTCGATTTTCCTTTCCTGTTAGTGGAATATTCTGTGAAAATTTCAGGCTCTAAATATTAAGGAGTGGGAATTTTGAAACTATCCAATGGAGTTACGTGGTTTTGCACATAGGCTTTTTACATGCAGCAGGCTAACACGACCAGTCAAGTATGAGCGGAGAGGCCTGAAAGATGGAACATGCCTCTGGTTAACATCTAGTAAACTAACAATGAATGCTAATTATGTATCCCGAAAACTAGTTTTTGACGCAAAACCTAGTTTTAATAATTAAGATGTCTTGTTAATTGCTCAAAAATTATATCAGATGCAAACCAAATACTTAAATAAATTTCCACGGACGAATTAAATTTCCTCAAGTTTTAATTAGAGCTGCAATGAACGAAATTAAAACGAAAAGAGTTCTTTTAGGATTCGAATAATTCGATTAAAGGTATTGATGGTAAAACTAGGGTACTTTTGTTTGCAACGTTGAAGTATTTTTGTCATATTTAATCATGTTTTTGAAGAACAACCCACCCAAAATTTTACTTCATCTCACTTCTGTACACCTCTTAAGAGTTTGTTAAATGCTGTCTGTAATATACTTTCTTAAAGTATGAATTAGTGGTGAATACCTGAAAATGCCGCAATTAAGGTCTTTTTTTGTAGTCTTATTGTTAATGTAGATTTAAAAGCTAAGATTTAAGATAATAGCTTTAATGCAACCTTAAAGGATTTAATTCATCAAAACAAGCAGCTTTAACCAAATGTGATTTTGCTACATCAGCTTCCTTGGTTCAGGCCCAAGTCTCTAAGAAAATTGAATGGAAGCTAATATTGGGAAACACTCGCAATCGGAAAGTACTTATTCTTATTTTTCAAAATTATTCGAAAATATAACATTATGAATTTCAGACGGCTAGTCCGTGTCTTAATGTAACGTGCGTAAAGTTCCTTCTAAACAGCCACCATGATCGAATTTTTAAGTTTTTCAAGTTAATGCCTGGAACAAGGAATCGTTTATCAATTGCAAAAGCTTGTAAAAAGCGTCTGTGACGGTCTGAAAGCTCTCTAATCGTGATCAATGTGACGGTGGAAGTAATTTGCATTCTGTCATGCTCGAAATCCCCGAGCGCCCCACTCTTCCGAGAAAAGCTACGGGGATATTTCCTAAACTGAGATTAAAAATTGACCTGAATACTTCAAGATCGAGGAAAACGACAAGTTAGACCCGGTTGCCGAATTTCTATTTTCGAGCGTATATTTCACGGAGAACTTATTTATTGATGTAGTTTATCTTTGGAGGTCATTTACCCCTGAACATGTCACGCAAACAAAACATTAGCTTGACGACCTAGTGTTGTGTCGCCGGCTTCAATTCACATGTATTAGACTGATTGATCTATCCATCGTGAGTGTTAAAATGAGGCTTCGGGAAGGGTCGTCTATGGAATCTATTGGGTGTACAATATTAATCGAAAGAAGCTATCTATTAGGGATACACAGGGTGGGAAAGAAACAATACTCGATTGATGAGTAGTCTGCTAAAGCCGTTGTAGTACGAGATATTTAACTCGCGTAGAGCATTGTTCTTATATTCTTGCATGTGACCGGGCAATTCATATTTCCCGTAACCAATGTACGATAAAAACGTTAATATCTACAATCAGCTAGTAGTTCATTTCAGTAGTTTTCGTTGCGCGGATCGTGTTCTACGTAAAATTCTGGTGAAGAATCATGTATTAGTGAGTACTTAAATTCGTATCTCACTTAATGGTCCATTCAACCTAAAAAAGCGAATCGAACGTGGAGAACTATCCTAAGCTCTCTCGGAAAGAATATTTTATGTGGAGAAACGACGCGACTTTGGAATGCTCATACGGCGTCGTAACACAAAATGCACCTTTTAAGCCACATTATTCGATGCCGCAATTATTCTAACACAGTGCAGCCGGCGTTAAACGCATATTAGCGCCTGCAAGACTGTAGGAAAACTTTACGCATTGCGCCAAACAGTGCGGTTGGCGCAAAGCGCATATTAGCGCCTACAAGACTGCATGAATACTTCTCGCATTGCGCCAAATGCGGTGCAGTCGGTCAGTCGGCGAGAAGCGCATATTAGCGTCATTCATTCTTGACTCTCTGCTCCGGTTTTTACGATGATTAAAAATATTGTAACGATTCAGAAAATCGGATGATATTTACTTTGGTTTTGATTATACTTAAAAGGAAAATAAATAGAACAAACGAAAATATCGTGTCGAAATTATCGACGCTTTTATTTGAGAACATTTAGGAAAATTTGCGGGAACTTCTCAAAAAAAAAACTGTACATAATAGGTTTTTAAAAATATTGATTAAAAATCAAATATAAAAGTAGTGCATGCAGTCGCAATCAGAGATATAAATATGCTTTCTTTTGCGTGCACCCTTCAGATATTGAATCCATCCATCTCTTGAAGAACTGACACATGGCTGTTCTGTGATTTTTTACGTGTACCTAGTTAATTAAAGAGCTCAGAAGAATGGCACATTTGTTTGCATGAAGCTGTGGCGGGGTAAGTTCAGCAATGAGACATCATTTTGCAAATTTTTTTCTCAAAGGCACCTTAAGTCGGTCATCGGACATATTTATGTTCCTACTTTCTACTGCTACCGCTTTAAATTCTCTTGGTTAAAATCCTCTCCATCGAATCAAACCCATTCAAGGGTATTTTGCTTGCCTGTGGAATTCAAATGATGGAGCATGACAGATAGACACTCCACCGCACAGCTGTTCCAGCATGATATAATTTGAAGTGCATCCGAAATGGAATTAAGATCCGCCAGAAGAACTAATTTGTTTCTTTACCTAAATTTTTCCACTGCGAGGAATGACATCAATCTGTTTGTTCGCAAATCGTGTCTATTCATGGATTCCGCTCGAGACCGATTTATAGGTGCGCACCTCCTGTCATCCGATTATTAAAAAAGAGATCCGAGTCAAGAGTCAGCGGGCCGATTGTTGAATCGTTATCGAATGACCTTGATCGATATATAGCATTGTGAAGATAGGGAGTTATCGATCGATTCATTCGATAAACGATTCAACAATCGAGGCGCAGGAGTCAGTTGTGAGACTTATGCAAAAAAGGTTTTGTCATTTTTTACCGCCTCGATAATTTACCGTGTCTCAAATTGACGCACCTTCTCAGAGAGGATATTGAAGAAGCAGAAGAAAAATATATTATAAAACATTTGCATTGTAGATTTTGTACCGAAGCACACTTTTTGCGGCTTCGCGGATTCACAGGCATTTATGAATGTCAATCAACATATGCACGCGAGGATCTTGATCGGGAGAACAACATCCTGTCACGGGAAAATCTAGGAATAATCCAAAAGATATTCCGACGGGGAATCTATATGATAAGGTTGCCAGATAATGCAATAATATTTGGATATTCTACGTAGGTTAAGATGGGAATAGTGCTGATTTTTTAGCACCATCTGGCAACGATGCTATATGATGACACTTACAACCTTTGCAGCGTCTCAAAGTTTAAACACGAATTTATTCATTCATTTTTTGGTTGTTTACCGTCCACGATCTTAGCAAGATTTAAGACAAGGACGCGGCTTTTCCACCTATGGATAGCCACAACTAAGACATCCTTTAATAGAACGAAGTAAAAGCTTTATAATGTTGTTTATGTTCTTGTTATTTCATATGTAAGTGTAAGAAAGCCAACAAACTACATTTTATTTTATATTTTTTATTTTATTTTTATTATTTTTCTTTTTTTTTATTTTTATTATTTTTTGTGGAAAAATAAGTAAATAAATACGTGGGTAGAACCAGACAATTTTTACGGGGACCAGCAGGGCACCTCATCTAAAATGTCTCCGAGAGGGCGCAGAAAAAATTTCCCCAAGAGGGAACCCTCCAGCTCTATAAAAATGGCTTCAGGGGACTTCCTAAGCTCCAAAAAGTGGCCGAGAAAATTTTGGAGAATAGAATCGTCTTTAGGTGCAATTTCGAGCCATTCTTGACGAAAATTGGTTGAAATCCAAATTGAAAGATAAAAACGTGGCGCACATTTTTAGCAAAACCCCTCGCATTTTTTGAAGGAGCCGAGTAGAATTCTGAGGCCGGGCCCGGTTTTTCGTTTAAAAATTCCACGGGGACTTTCATATCATTTAGTTGCAAATCAGTCACGCAACTAGCGGCGTTGCAAAGCTCATAAGTTGTTTACAAATAATGGCATAGTATTGATTAATTGATTCATTTTTCATGAAGGGAAGGATGAGAATTTTACGAAGCCTTTCAAACCCCAAGAATTAAATGCGTCACACGCGTAGTTAAACTTGAGTTCCACGCTTCCTCTTTTGACAGGCACCTCTGAGGTACCCCTAGACCCCCCTCTGGGTGCCTGACAAGACTTATTACAGTTTAATCCACGCGAATCAGGAAAAGAATCCAATCGACCGCAACTTCCTCGGTGCGAATAATACACATACGCATTGATTCGTGCTTTCCGAACGCCGACATCCATCAAGGAACCGGTGATTTGCGAGT